CTATTCTGAACCAATTCACCAATTATTGTGACTTCAGGTTTGTGCTTTGAAGCTCTGGAATCCAAAACAAGCAGCCAAAAATAACGGTCCACCCTCTGTACATCAGAGTTAGACTGTGTATCCCTCCCTCCTGGCGAGCTGGTATGTACACCAGCTTGTCGGGAGGGAGTCCTCCCAAGAAGAGCACCAGCTCGTTGGGAGGAATCCGTTCCTACAAGCTGGTCTGTGTACCACCTCTCCGGGAGGAACCCCTCCCAACAAGTCTGGTCTGTGTACCAGCTCGCCGGGAGGAAGGCCTCCCGAGTAGCTGGTCTGTGTACCAGGTTGGTGGGGAGCAATTCGTCCGAACAAGCTGGTGTACATACCAGCTTGCCGGGAGGGATTCCTCCCGGTGGCATGGCCTCTCTAGGCTGAGGGGGGGGGGGCACTCCTCTTCACTCTCTTGGCACCGGGTATCCCTTGGGATACCCGGATATCCGCCAGGATTTGGGAGGAAAAGGACATCCGCAGCCAAATCCTATCGACCATCTCTAATACCGAACATTCCATTTTCAATCAACTCGCCGCCACCCAAACTCAAATATAAGAAGTTATCCTTGGTGAAAAAACATAAACTGAATGATTGTTCAAGCCGTCGTCGTAGCCGCAGTCTGGAAGACAATGTCAGCCACAGAGTACATGTCACAGTACCTTTCATGTACCAAGTAACTGCAACACCTGTACTTATGTACATAAGTACTTATCCATAATGTTGATTACCTTTACCTCTTGTTATCTTATCATTATTATTAACTTACCTTATTTAGCTTATATCTATTTTATCTGTTAATTACTTATACATTAAATACATATCTGTTTTATACATAAGTAATTATCACTTACCTTTCACTCCTGTGTCCGTGAAATACCTGTACCACAAGTTATCCCTGGTCTACAGTATTTTCACGGTCAATTATTATTACAAATAAATATGTACATGTATTAAATAGTAAGTATTAAGTGTCAATAGAATTAATACATTCAATACATGCACTGATCACAATTATGACTACATTATTAGAGGATCTGTTAAGTACACATCAAGAGCAACTAGTACATTGATCAACTAGTACACAATTATGATGTCACTCACAGATCATGACAAATAATGATCAGTCACTCAATTGATGTGCTCATTCTCCTGGCCAAAAGCTCCCTTGATTCTGAGCGCTCATTCTTTCCCTCCTTCAGTATTCTGGAACTTATAATCCGTGCTTCTTTCACTGATTAATCCCCAGAATATTCAGACACCAGTTAAACCAGTTAACATTTATATTGATACAGTACCCGTAACCAACATAAATCTTGTCTACCTTTATTGTTCTTAAGCTTCAGTACTCTTACTCAACTTATCCACAGTATTCATAGCCTTGCTGAATATTCCCATCAACAATACCTGTTAATCTTCAACTAATTTTGTTAAAGCTTAATAAGTATTGTTAGCCCATTCCCTTTTGGGAATAACCAAATCAATCCCAGGTGAGTCTTAGTACCCTGGATGCCTATTAATACCTTGTATTGATCCGGATGCGCTGTTGATAGCAAGCCTCTCAGTAAAGACCATACTGATAGAGTGAAACCTCCTCTTTACAGGACTGGTATTAATCACCCACTACCTAACACTCACCACGCTCAAAAAACTTCAGTCAACTCATAGTAACAACCTTTTTACTATTAAATACTCAGGTTAGTTACCCAGAGGCTGACAGACAATTCCAATAGTTCTTCTGTAGTTGATCCAGGTGTCAACTTACTCAATGCATACCTCAAATTTGTCAAGACCCCATCCGATGAAAGGAGAGGCATTGCCAGCATTCTCATTGAAAACAAAGCCACAAATCCTAAATTTTTTCGATCGAAGAACATCACCCGGGATGTGATGAAGGAATGGGGCCTAGCTGACATATTCATTGCTCAGTTGAGAGACAATGTGTTGAAGTTTGAAATACACATGTCCGACAAATAGGAAATTTTCCTTCTTGATAAAAAAAACAATATCTCTTTCTTTAGTCTTACACCCCTGATGTCACTCAAGCACATACACGATCTTACACAGAGCTTATTATTTAGTATTATTTGATTACCCCTTTACTTGATCAATTTTAGTATTATTTGAATATCCCTTTACTTGATCGATCTCTTTAAGTTTTTTCAATCAATCTCTTAAATCCATTAACCTCCTTTTTTGATTGATCTCCTTGAACTCAAAGATCTGTTAACCTGATTGAATTTGTGTTGATGTTATCAACCTTAGCAATATTTCAAACCATTCTCATTGATTGATTTTGACTTGAACACTTGTCAATTGGTAAAAATTGAATCACATCACTGGTCAAAAACATTTCAGCAATCAATCACATGAGATAAGAAATCAGTGCTTGGGAAAGGAAGAACGGGTAGCTGGTGATTGAGCAATATAAGAAGGTTAAGATGATACAATTTCACAGTTGATGTTTTTATCAATGATGGTCAATGTTAATTGAGATTGATCAAGGTTAAAGTATGTGTGACCAAACCACAAAGAAAGAAAGACCGACGCTCATGATGAATTGTAAATAAGTCCTAGTTTGGTGGGACACAGTACCCGCAATGCTTGTAAACTTTGTAGCAGAAATCATCGGTCAGGATCTCTGCAGTTACTCAATGTATTTCATATTCCCAATCATTGGTTCTATCAAGGATTTGAGAGGATTGGAGGTGTTGTTTGATGGCAGCGAAACCAAGCTCAATAGGATTCAACTCGGTGTGGTAAGCCAATCCTGAAAATCCAAGCACATCAAAAGTACAAATCACAGAGGAATCACAGGATCAAGACACCCCACAAAGCTCCCCAGACCCCCAAACCAATCATGAATCCCCTCAAGCACAGACCACATGGATAATA